TGCCTGCGCTGCCTGCGCTGCCTGTGCTGCCTGTCCTCTGCCGCGGGGCCCCAGCGCAGAGCAGGGACGGTGGCGTGCAGCAGGGATGGGACGAGCGGGAGCAGATCTCCGGCTCCTGCGGCAGCGCGGTGCAAGGCCGGGAGAGGCTCCCCGTCTCCGAGCCCTGCACGCAACTCCTGCATCGGCAGCACCGAGCCCACCTGGGTGTGCAAATCCCCCCACTGGTGTGCAAATCGCCCTGGCTGGCGTGCAAATCGCCCCGGCTGGCGTGCAAACCCCCTGGCTGGTGTGCAAATCCCCCGGCTGGCGTGCAAATCCTCCCGACTGGCGTGCAAATCCCCCGGATGGTGTGCAAATCCCCCCAGCTGGCGTGAAACCCCCCCGGCTGGCGTGCAAATCCCCCAGCTGGTGTGCAAACCCCCTGGCTGGCGTGCAAGCCCCCCCGGCTGGTGTGCAAGTCCCCCAGCTGGCGTGCAAATCCCCCCGGCTGAGGCTCCCAAGGGGTGTTTGCTCCCAGCCCTGGTGCTGCTCACCCCTGGGTGCACACCCGGGATCTCCCAGGGCACAGCAGAGCCTTCACAGGGGTGCAAAAGGCCTTCAGTGTGTGTGCACACGTGTGTGTACGTGCGTGTGCATGGCTGTGCACGGGTGTCTGTACACAAGAGTGTGTGTGTGCACGAGTGCACGTGTGCGGATGCAGGTGTGGACAAATTCCCATGTGCACACGCATGCCTGTGTGCACGTAAGTGTGGGCATGTGCCTACATGGGCACACGTACGTGTGTGTGTGCACGCGTACGTGTGTGTGTGCACGCGTGCCTGCAAGTGCACGTGTCTGCCGGTGTGCGTGCGTATCCCTGTGTGTGCACGCATGAGTGCACATGTGTGTGCAAGCGTGTGTGCACAAGCGCAGGCGTGCAAGTGCACGTGGGTGTGCAGGCAGGCATGCGCTCTGCCTGCACGCGAGTGCACCGGGGTGTGCGCACGCCCCCGAGTGTGCGTGCATGCATATGTGCTTGCACGCCTGTGCGTGCCCGGGGCTGTGAGCACACGCGTGCGTGCCCGTCGGTGTGAGCACAGGCGTGCAAGCCCGGGCGGGACTCGAACCCGGATCCCACAGCCGCCTCCCGGGGGCGGCCTCGAACCCCGCGGCCCCGCCTCGCCCTCAGCGCCGGCACCCTGCGCCCCTTCCCGGCATGCCCCGGGCGGGCGGGCCGCACCACGGCGCCGACCG